TTTAATAACATAAAAAAATTATATAAAAGAGTGATATGAAAAATTATCCTATGCTATCATGCAAGAAAATACTAAAGCCACACAAAAGTAAAAATGTTTTGTTGCAAGGACTATTTTGCCCCTGTCATGTCCAAAATCATCTACGTGACTACGTGCCTTGCCTTGCTTCCAATGTGGTGAATTTTCGACTGGCGCCTCTTGCATTGACTTCAATTCCCTCGTCAATGGTAACAAAAAAGAAGTGTTGTATAATTTAATATAAATTAAATTATAAAACTAAATTATTAAATAAAAAGTTAATTCTCCTAGAAGAAGAGTTGATTTGAGAGGAAATGAAAAGAGAGGAGAAAAGCTGTGTTCTTATTCAGTTGCGCATATGCATTTTCTTTTAAAGAAACCAAATTTGACTAAAATATAAAATTAGTTTATTTTCATGCAAAATTTCATATATTATTATAAAATTATAAAAAGGCGAAAGCTATAAGACAAGATAATCATCAGGTTTGTGGGATGCGTTGAATTATTGGCAAAGGACAATAATGCAGTGAGGCCAACTGCGGCCCAGTTGTTTTTGATACAGGCAAATGATAAAGCTACGTAGAAGCTTTGCTAACTTCGTCACTAAATTATTTAAGCTTAGTATATAGTATATATTTTTTTTTGTTTGAATTATAAACTTTCTCCTCATTCTCCTCCAAAGTGAAAGGTTTTGGAGTATTTTTCTTTTCTAATTTTTACTTTTATTGTATCTTCTTTGAAAATCTTTGAAGCAACTAAAAAGTATATATCCAAGCAATTTGTGAAGAAGCCTTTTGTTAGATTTATCCTTATTAAAGTCATTCTTAGTCATTTGGAAAAAATTGTAATTATTGTCTTTTTTAAATTAACTATTTTACAATTGATTTTTGTCTCTTTTTTCAAATCTACATATGACAATATATCTTTTTTCTTTTTTCTTTTTTTTTTCAGTTGGTAGTATCTACTCTTACTTATTTCAACGTCAGCTCAGTCATAGCAAGCATATTTATTTCTCAATGTATCACATAAATGGATATCTTTGATTTTATGAAGTTCTTTGATACATTTAACTATATAAATAAATCTATATATTATATCTTTGAAGCATTTTTTTAGTTGGTAGTATTTACTTAATTATGTTTTGACTTAATAATCAGATTCTTCAATTTTTTTTTTTTCATTGTCCTTTATAGATCTAAGAGTTTTTAGGTATTTTAACCTAAAGTTTCTCTAGATATGCAAGTTATTCCTTAAGTCAACTTTTGTTTCCTTTGTTCCTTATCTTTTAGTTTGAAAATGAAATGAAATTCATATAAATAAATTCCCTTAAGAATTTAATTAAATTGAATTCTCATATTTATTTAAAAATTTTTAGTCTCTTTGCTGTAAAGTATAAATTAAAGTAGAATTAATTTCATTTCTCTTTTGCAGATTGTATAATTTTTGGTTTTTCTATTCCATATTCTGCAACCTGCATTCTCAACCTTCTTCAAAAACACTTGAATTCATCAGGAAACAATAGTTCCATGCCCAGAAGGTATAATTTTTTTTTTACTCCCTATATATTTTCTTCACATTCATGTGTGTATATACATATATATATATATATATAATAAGGATCAACTCACATATAAATTTTACTCATTTAATAAAATCTTATGAAAAAAATTAAAAGATTCTAATTATTTTTAAAATAGCAATGAAAATATTTTAATTTTTTCTTGTAATATTTCATTGAAATAATGTAATTTTAAAGTTTATTTTCTTTAATTTTTTATAAATTCAAGTGATAAACATTAATATATGTGTGTGTATATGTATATATATATATATATTTTTTTTACTTTCAATTTTCTAAATTAATACTCTCCCTCTCCTTCAATGGATTAGATCAATCTTCTACTTTTTAACTAATTGTTACATTTGATTTCCATTATTTTACATGTAATGAAAATCTTAGAAGAAGATAAGAGTATGCTGAAGCGTGCAGTCTGTGAAGAAGCCTTTCGCCTAGCCAAACATTTCTTTTCGTGATTTGGTGAAAGCACAATCCATAAAAGGAAGGTGCACTTTTGTTTTTTGTTTTTTGTTTTTTGTTTTTTTGTTTTTTTGTTTTTTTTATCATTAACTGTTGTCTCATTCTTTGAATTTGCATAAGACATTAACAATATTTATATTGTTATTTTTTAACGAATTTTTCGACGGGGATTATTTTTGTTTCAAAAGTAATGATCTAATATTATTATTAATTTAGAAAAAGACAACAAATTTTCAAATCAATCTGAAAAAACAAAAAAGTACATGAATATTGATGAAATAATTTTCTAGGTATTTATGTACTTTTTTTTCTTGCAAGTCAAAATGTGAAAAACACTTCTGATTTATTAAAGGTTAGAATGTTCTAATAACTTGATAATCATTCCAAATCAATATCTTCTGCCACTAGTCTTACCTCCGCTAATGTTATGGCAAACGCCCCCTAGCTATTGTGAGATTTTTAATTTGGTTCTTTAAGTTTTATTTTTATCAATTTTATCCTTAATTACTTTGTTTCATATCATTACTTTAGTCATTTTAAAGTTTTTTCATTGGAGATCACTTCAGAATTAATCTTTAAAAATTTGGTCCTCCCAGTTATTTTTCTAATTGTTATGAAAATATGACTGAAAAAAAGACTTAATAAAAGCAGAATATTAAACTTTTAAAAGATATTATATAAATTTTTTAAAAATACTTTTTTAATTTATGGATCCTATATATATATATTAATGGTTATATTATTCCAAACTAATGTTTTAAGCATTCTTTTTCAAAAGAGTAGTGATACAAAAGACGAAAATTTAGTATTAATAATATAACATAAATCATGTCATTAAATAATATTATAAGTCAAAAAAATAAAAAAATAATTATTAAATAATATATGATTTATTTTTTAATATTTTAAATGATGTGATTTGTACATATCATTGATTTTAAACTTTAGACCTAAAATTTTTAACCTATTTATCATTATTCTTTTTTTAAAAGTTGGGGACATTAAAATTTCAAAATAGAGACGAAAGGCGAATGTAGGCTAGATTATTGAATAATGGTTATGCTTGATTAATTTTCATTTTTATAAGTGGTAAAATTTACACTAAAAATTAAAATAAAAAAGTAGAAGCTACCAGAATATTAAAAAATATTTTTTATTACCAAGATCAATATTTTTACCAACTCTTCTACCTT